GCCTTTACTGGGAGAACTGGACCTGTCCAGGGACCAGTCTGGCCCATACTGGGAAGCCTGGCCCTGCACTGGCCCCCTGCCCATCCCATATTTGCCCTCCTCAGACCTGAAAACACATGCACAGTTTGTCCCTCCACGCCTGGCTGGGAGGATGTCCCTTAGGATGAGTTTAACACCAGCTTTGCCACGTTACTTTTCCTAGCAGGGAATGGCATCTCCGTCTTTCCTTCTTTCCCAAGATTCCACCCCAAAATATGGGCTGGGGTCTCAGATCCTGCCTTGTTTGAGCTGAGGATCAARTCCCAGTGATTGGGACTCTTTTCCAGTTGTTATGATGCTGCTGGGAATAGAAAATTCCTGTTTTCCTGGGGAATAACTCCCTGTCAGGGCTGGTGGGAGCTGTCAGAGAACATTCCCCATTCCTGGAATTCCGTGGTTGGACACGAGCAAGGTCTGGGTGGATCCACGGGACCATTTTGCAGCTGGAAAACTGAGGGATGGATGGTCCAGGTGATGTTTTCTGCCCCAAAAACGCCGTGGTGAGGCTGGAAAGGGGCCTGGTGTGACCCAGAAAAGCGCCGGGAACAGATTGTGGAAGAGTTCCTGGAACAGGGAATACTTGGGGAACAAAAAGTACGGATTGTGAGTGTCCTGAAAACACAGTGGTGTCTCCACGACCAAATTCCTGCTTTCAACCAACCCCGCACAGCAAAAACGCTGCTTTTTAACCCAAAAAATCCATAGTTTGCAGCGTTTTCCCTCCTTCCTTCTGGCTGGAGATCTCAAACCCCCCAAAAACACCTCATTACCCCCAAAATCACCCCGGAGTGGGGACGCTGATGATTTCCCGGGGATCTGGCGGCCGCGGCGCAGCCGACATATGGCGCGAGCCGAGGAGCCGCTGCCGACAGATTTTGGGTTCGTTTTCCGAGAAAAAACACGAATAAACACAGGCTCTTGCTGTTTCAAAACTGACTCATCATTTTCCTTAAACAAACAGCCGGAATCGGGAGCTCCCGAGGCGGGAGAGGGCTCGGGGTGGGAATTTCTGGGTGGGARTTGTCGGGTTTGGGGTGGGAATTTCTGGGTTTGGGGTGGGAATT